GAGGTTTTATTGTTGGCTCGCCTGGAATCTCCGAGTATTGAAAATTCTATTATTTCATGGTCACTATTTCCCAGGCGGCCTTCAACCACTACGTCTCCCACCAGCCCCTCTCTGTTTGTAAACAGCAGGTCTAGCGGGGCCTTACCCCTGGTAGGTTCATTTACCAGCTGATGAAGGAAATTGTCCTCTCTACACTCCAGGAACCTCTTAGACTGCCTCTTCTCTACAGTATTGAGCTCCCAGCATATATCTGGCAGGTTAAAGTCACCCACAAGGACAAGGGCTGACGATTTTGAGACATCTGCCAGCTGCTTATAGAATAATTCATCTCCTTCATCATCCTGGTAGGGCGGTCTGTAACAGACACCTATGATGATGTCAGCCTTGTTGGTCTTCCCCCTGATTCTGACCCACAGGCACTCGACATTATCATTGCTGACCTGAATTTCAACAGAGTCAAGAGACTCCCTAACATATAAAGCCACCCCTCCAACCCTCCTACCCTGCCTGTTCTTTCTGAAGAACTTGTAGCCTTCCATAGCAGCACTCCAGTCATGTGAGTCGTCCCACCATGTTTCTGTGATGGCGACTACATCATGGCCTTCATGCCAGGATGTGTTATTGGATCCTTCTCTAGTTCTTTACATTTCTCAAATGCAGATTCTCTCAAAAGACGGTGTTACTGCCCGAGTTGATGGGGTGGTGTGCTACAGGATCTATAGTGCTGTCAGCGCTGTTGCTAACGTCAGTGATGTCCACTCAGCAACCTTGCTTTTGGCACAGACAACCCTGAGGAACATTCTGGGTAAGCAGAGCTTGGCTCAGCTGCTGGCAGGTCGTGAGGAGATTGGACGCAATATCCAGGTAAATCTGGCTCTCAAAATTCACTGACAAGCACTGACAAGGGAGATGTGTTCTGGGGAGTAGCAAATTAGAAATACTATCTCTTTCTTTTATCAACAATGATAACAAAATTTCCCTTTATTGTTTTTTCTCAATTACACATCTCATTGCTTAGCGTCAGAAAGAGTTATTCTAAAGGTATTTCCCCAGGTTCTTGTAACAGAGTTATCTCTTATCAAAAAGCAATTAAGATTTTGAAATTATCCAGTGACCTAAATAAATCAGGTTAGTCTTGCACAGAGGCCACTGCAAGCATGGGGAAATGTTTGCTGCTCGTGGGATGCTCTATCTTGAGCAGACCCTTGATTGAGGCAAGGCTTGTATCTTCTGTCATTACAACTAAGAGTACAGAACAAGTTGTTTTATGCTTTAAAATGCCATCTGATTACTTTCTTTATTTGGCAGCCAAGGAGGGAGCAGAGAAGAAATCCAACACCTGATTTAGTATTTTCAGTCAGAGGCAAGGCATAGTCAAATCAAAGAGAGAGTCTACCCCTCTCCAGCCAGCAGAGTGGCCTTGGGCAGAGCCAGGGTCACGGTGGTGGCATGAATTGCAGGAGTGCCCAGGAGCCAGAGCACAGAAGATTGTGCCAGTGCTGCAGGGCTGTGCCGTGCCTTTCACCCATAGTGTACAGCATTGTGCTGCTAAGGAAGTTGTTGTAGTATTTCTTTGTAAAAGGGAGAAGTTTGGTAAGTGCCCAGGTAAAGCATGGGAATCATAATTTTGGAGGCAGTAGAAAAGCCACACAGGTGACACTGATGTCACTCAGCAAGTGTTTCATAAGACTGTGGTGCCCACCATATGCACACCATGCTGCATGCTTGTATCCTTGGAGGGTCTGTCTTTCTGCTGTCCAGGTTTGCATTCTACCTGTCCTTCTATCCAAGTAGCAGGGTACATTGTGTGGCTTTCTCTCTGTGCTCTTTGTGGTGTGTTGTGTGTTTATCCCTAAGGCTATCCTCAACAGCACCACAGAGCAGTGGGGAGTCAAAGTGGCCCGTGTGGAGATCAAAGATGTCAGAATTCCTGTGGCCATGCAGAGGGCAATGGCAGCTGAAGCAGAGGCTGCTCGAGAGACAAGAGCTAAGGTGAGACCAACAGCAATGTCTATCCCCAAGCACTTGTTTCCGTAGAATTGTTTGGGTTGGAAAAGACCTCTAAGATCGCTGAGTCCAACCATTAACCCAGCACTGCCAAGTCTACCACTACACCATCTCCCTAAGCACCACATCTGCACATCTATTAAATATCTCCTGGGTTAGTGACTCCACCACTTCCCAGGCATCCTGTTCCAGTGCTTGACAACCTAACTTTTTTCT